AAAAAAAAAAAAAAAAAAAAGAATGTAACTTTTACATTATTTATAATGAATTTATTTTCTCTTGCACAATTTATACTTATTCACTAACTGGCCGTGGAGAACATGAATGGCTATCGTGTGCAACAAAGAGGAAACACCACTCACACCCTTGAGCCAAATGGTTCGAATATTCTAACAGAGCCCACGATCCAGGACAGCTGGTGCAAAGAGGCCCAATTCATAATCAACAGAAATACTCTGCCAGCAGGAGGCACTGGCCATGATGGTAAGGCAGCTGGTGACACACACTGAATAATACTCTATAGCTATGTTAAGGAACTCATTATCAGAACGAATTTCCACCTGCTGCTTCTTGCTCTTTAATATTACCTTTAGAAAAATACAAAATTATGTTTGTGGCTTGTATTGTATTTCTATTGGGCAGTGTCAAACTTGAAATCCATTTAAATAGAAATTACACTCTAACGGCCATCACATGCTCCTGCTGATAAAGTCCATGCTGGGCACTGGTGGATAAGCCTATGAGGTAGCAGAGAGCATTAAATGAATACAGATGCTTGGATCTGACCCTTTCAGGACAGGAACAAAAACAGTGCCGAGACCTTTCAGATAGCTTAGGACAGAACTGCCTACACATTGAAAGAGCCTTACAAAATAGCAGGTCGTATCTGAAAGGAGAAGGCCTCCTTGAACCATACTTTCTGCATGCTAATCTAAAGCAAATTTATTCATGACTTTGATCCCTACAACCTACTCCCATCTAATTTTCTGTCATTTTTACGGAAACCCTTTTAAAACACACGAGTCATTTCCAGTAAACATTTCCCTAAAGATCCAACATCTAGCTATAACAAATGACTGGACACAGAGACTCAAGGGCACAGGCAACATCCACAGGGTCAGACAGACTGGATGCCAAGTTTGGTGCCTTGGCATCACTCCAACAAACAACTGGAGGGATCGTCCCTCAATCAGACATGGCTGGAATACAGCTGTTTTCCTCTCACTGTCCATAAATGCACCTCAATTGTGAATCTTTGTGTAGAGAGGGGTCTCCCACTTCTTGAGCTACATACACTTATACCTCCAAATTATTTGGGCACAGATATTATCCATCTCACCAATATTGGAGCAATGTATTAGGCAAGGTAAGGGAAGAATTTTAAAAATGATTCAAGGGCTGGGAATATGGCTAAGCGGGAGAGGAGCTATTCAGTTCAGATGAATTAAGTCACAGGCAAAGAATGGTCTCATCCCTGGAAACTCAAATTAGAGGTTAAGGGAATCAGATTGTTGGCATTTTCTTGCCTATGTCCTTACTTCAGATGCTAAAGAAAATCTTTGTACACTAAGATTTTGATAAATGAAATTATATCAAATTATAAACCTTCTGCACAGCAAAGTAAACAATCCAAGAGATAACCTACAGAACAGCCAAAAAAAAAAAAAAATCGTCAGCTATTCCTCAGATAGAGAACTTATATCTAAAATATATAAGGAGCTCCAAAAATTAGGCCCCCCAAAACAATACTCTACAAAAAAAACAGACAATTGAATATACACTTCTCAAAAGAAGTACAAATGAGCAGTAAGCATATGAAAAACAGTTCAGCATATTTGGTCATGAGGAAATTCAAATCAAAACAATACCGACAGCCCATCTTTCTGGAGTAAGAAAGGCTAACATCAAGGACTCCAAAAACAATAAATGCTGGTAAGCTTGCAGGGAAAAACAAACCCCTTTGAATTGTTGATAAGAATGTAAACCACTAGGTACAACCATTATGAAAATAAATATGAAGATACTTTAAAAAAAACCTAAAAATGGGCCGGGGATTTAGCTCAGCAAAAAACAAAAGAAACCAAAAAACTAAAAATACCAATTCCAAGTAAATGTAAGTAGAAATAATTTTAAGAGCAAAACAAAAGCAAGATGATAGGAAACAGGAAGGTAGAATTTGAGGAAGGAGGCATTCAGAGGAAGGGGATCTGGAGAAGGCAAGAGAGGTGAGAGGAAAAGGGGACCAAATATTGTCAAGATAATTACATGAATCACACACAAATACTAATAAAATGTACATTATGTACCACAAAATATGCTAATAAAAAGAAAACAGGAAGATAGTTAGCAACTCCAGCCATAACTTTCAAAGGAATTGCAAGTGCTTACATGTGCCAAGATGACCTACATTTTAAATCTATTCTTCAAGCTCTGTTTTCATAGCAGAAAGTCAGCAAGCACATTAAGGCTCTTCCATTTACTTTTGATTGCATATATGTGCTTGTGTATTTAAGGCTTTACTCCTAAGTACTTAGGGAATAGTATTTGATGATTTTGGTTTCTAACATGAGATGTAAACAAACCAATGCTTTCCATTCCCGAGAGTCTTACAAACACATAACCTTTCATGTACAAAAAATAACAGTTTGGTAGTCAAAATAAAAACATACATGTCGTGGGTCTGCCATTGTTTCCTGTTACAGGTAACAATAATCAGTAACTTTTGGGTGAGAAATACTGCAAACACGGCTGCTAAAATATCCATATACATAAACAGGCATACACACATGCATAAATTAAAAGCACCCCTTAAATGATAAAGTCTTAATAAAAGTAGTAGAAAATAAATGAATAAAAGAAATTCACATGAGGCTGAATGAAAGAACTAAGTCAGGAATTGCATGAAGAAGCAAGAGTACTTCCAGGAACCAGCACGACGGACCTCACAAAGTAAGAAGTAATTAGGACCCACACCCGAGAGCCTCACCCGGCAGTTGAGCAGTGTGTACAGCACGTGATCCGGGGTGGTCTGTGCTCTCCACTGTAAGACCTCAGACAGGAAGAGGAACTGCAAGGAGGCACAGCAGGAAGGGTCAGGCTCTGCAGTCTGGGTTGGATAATCTCAGTATTTAAATCAAAATACACTGCTTTTGAGCGTCTTTAAAACAGTGTGCTTATTCGTAGAGGAAAGAGGCCATTTGTTTTTAGGACTCTTAACTAATCTATAGAACAAGAAAGTGTCGATACTGTATTCTTTTTCATGCAGTGACCTGGAATTCACTGCACCTGATTTAGACTGACAACTCAAAGAGCAAGTTGGTGCACTTAGGGGGCAAAGATCTCTAAATCTGATCTCTAAAGCCAATACAGCAAAGTTTTCCTCCTGGGGCTGCCAGAAGAGGCAATGTTGATTTTTGTGGACTGCAATGAGACAATCAGATCTATCTTGTTTTTAAAAAAATACACACATTTATGTTTTTAGAATGGTAATTCCTTAGTGACATTAGCTGTGTTATATTAATATATTGTTTCCATCTGTAGTAAAAAGGACAATCCTATTTCATGTCAGGATACAGAAAATATCCATTTATAACCTTAGACCTTTTAATAATAGAAATGTACCACAAGGGTGGGCAATTCAGTGATCAACTGCTTTCAATTCACAACTGCTCTTTGTTACTACAGTGGCAATATTTTCAACAGATGATATCACATCACCCAAGTCCATACAGAATGGGACCACCTTTTGGCTATGGGAATGAGACCTCTTTTGGTCAGGGCTGCATGGTTACAAGGGTCACAGCTACACAGGACATGAAGAGGGGCGGGGCGGCACAGGCTGGGGACTACAGAAACCACCAGGATCTTCTCCAGTAAGGAGGGCTGGCTGCCAGAGAGCAAAGCATGGATGCCTTACAGCAGGGTGACTCACAGGACACGTGGGATTCGTGTCAGGGCCGGTGGAGATAACCAGAAACAAGGGCCGAGGCGACACTGAGACAGGACAAGGGTTTTGAAACACTCCGGTAAGTCCTGCCCATTGTGCGATGCTATCACTGACTCATTTCTGTAGTGCTAATACATTTTAAAAACTTCATATGAAAACACATATTATATAATAAACACTTTTCTTGAAAATTATAGGGACATCTCTTGCCGAGAGAGAGGAGAGTAGGGTATCATCACTAAAGACACACGTCAGCAGCAGATGGGAAACTGCCACCGAAGGAAACTCTAGGGACATCACTGACACAGCGCCTTGGTCAGTGCTGGAATGGGAGGGACACAGCCCAAGCCTTGGTGGGCACCTACCTTCCGGGCCTGGTCATTGTCCTCTATCTGACCCAGGTCTCTGCCACTCGCTTGGGCGATCCTCTTTCCAGACACCAGGTTTCCCACCATCACAGAGGCAGGGCCAATTTCTGGAAGGAAAGAGAAATAAAATAAAACCTCGAGGAGACAAAAATGAAATTCTTTAAAACATGACTCCCATGTTTGGTACAGAGCTCTTTCTAGGAAAACCCTTTGAAAGATCTGGCTTTGAAGAAATCTTACTGGAACAGGTTTCAAAGAAATCACTACAATGGTGTCAATGGCAAATATAAACACGCTCTGATTAGAGGTTATACAGAACCAGTGCCCCTCGGCACCCTCCAAGTCCACTGCCTGTATTTTCCTGTGAGTGTGACTCTAGAGGTGCTGAGACACATCCAGAGAAGGGATTACAAAAATCATAAAGAAGGCAAGTAGAGAACTCGAAAGCACGATGTACTGCAATGCTCAGTGGCTGACTCCTGGATTGGGTCTGCTCTTGTTCTCTGGTGTTTTTACACAAGAGTTGACAAAAAACAAAATATTATACATTTTAATACTTCATGGGATACATTTAAAGAATAATGGGACAGGATGCAGAATCACTTACCCATATATTTTTACTGACTGTTTAAAGGTTTTAGGTTCTCTATCAGGCCCACAGTGAGATGCAGGAAGAATGTACCAAGAGGCTACTGCAAAATCAAATTCTTTCTTACTTCACTGTTGTGGACTCAATTCCCAATGCACTTGCCTAGTTTATGAGAACAGTGTGCAGGAGCCTTAATGCTGGAGTCTGTGTAATCATAAGAGTATGCCTTATATACACAGCTGAATCAGTTTTGAATTTTCCCATGTGGCAGTTGTGGGCAGACTGTCTTTTCTTAGTTCTTAATAAAGTAACTATGAAAGAGAAGCACACTTTTCACATTTAACAAAACAGAGCAAAAAATTTGCTAACAGAATGCACGCTGGGTAAAGGGTGCTGCTGCTGTGGCAGAAGCCGGGAAGTGAATTGCTTCTGCAGGGTAATTTAACATCCTGGGAATCCGTACGCTGGTTTATTAGCCGTTCCTTTGCAATCTTTAGGATTTTTTTAAATGATGTATCTTACTCTTCTTGGTCACTGAGGGCTGGTAAGAAGAGTCCTCCAAGAAGCCAACTGAGAAAAGGGCCTATCCTGCTTTAAAGGCTTCTCCACGATGCAACATAAAGAAGGAAAGCAAATTCATGGAGGGATACGAGGTTTTTACAGCAGTTTACTTCGCACTTCTTTATCACACTCTCCTTCTTTGTCAATCTGCTCTTACTGAGGTTTAATTCCGGTTGCACTCTCTGAAGGTCAAGCATGGAACCTTATACATCTCTTTCACAATGTGCATCTTGACTGTTGCTGAATCTCATTTACAAAAATTTTCCTTACTTAGAAACAATGATCCTCTCACAATTGAAATGAGATGGGCACAAAGGAAATACCTTTTTTAAAAAAACTCTCAGGGCCGGGATTTAGCTCAGTGGTTCTGCTGCCTGCCTCACAAGCACAAGGTCCCAAGTTTGACCCCCAGCACCATAAATAAATAAATAAATAAATGCTCTTGCAGTCCACCACAGCCTCTCAATTTTGAAAGATAAACTGAGATATACCCTGAAGTGTGTATTTAAGATCCACATTTATTCTTTCTATTCCCGCTCCCATTTATAGATTAACATATCTGCAAGCCAACAACTTTTTCCCTATTCCAGCACACAATGCTTAACAAATTCATGCAGGGGACAAGGGCAGAAGTTTCATCTCAGCAGCAAAAACAATTCTGAACAAGAAGCAACACCTTTCTCTTAGGAGCTGGGCTCTGTGCGAGCAATTCCTCACACTGAGCTCCAGCAAGTCCAACAAGGTATCCTCCTGGGAGTCGGTAACTGTGGAATAATGTCTATTTTTATGACTTTCATAGTACCGATGGTAACTCATTTGACACATTAAAGATCTACTAACACTTTTGTGTTCAGTTTTCTAATCTCACACACACTCCGCTGTTAAATGAATAAACAAGAATTCAACCAGTAGAAAATTTCATTGTCTATAAATCTTTAAAATTTAAATGGCTCCATTTTAAGCATCCATCAAAATCCTTAGGCACGAGTGTCCGGAATAAATGTTTTGGCTGCCCATAAGGGCCTGTTGAGAGTCACCATAAATGTTTACCCAAAGGAGGCTTAGAAATAATCCAGTCCTATTTCCTCAATGCATATATGGACACTGAGGCCTCGAGGCAATGTCCTCTGAAGTCTTCTACAGGCCATCAGCAGAGCTAAGGAAAGTCATAGACAACTCACAGGTCTTCCATTTAATATTTGTTCAAAACGGTAATAAGGAAAAAAAGTATTTGTTTAAAAATGAAGGAAAGCAATATTGAGGGGCTGCAGGTATAGCTCAGGGGTTGGGGACAAGCTTATCATATGTGAGGCTCCAGAGTTTAATCAAGCATCAAAAAAGATATTTTTGTAGAGACAGAATTATATTAGCTTACCTCTTCACGAAAACGGCACACCATTTGTTTACACATAATATAAATATATATTATATATAACTTCTTCATTTTTAAAAAGTTGTCTGTCACTTAAGCTTTACTTAATAAGCTGCAGTACTGAAGCAACAGTTTCCAGACCTGCTGGATCACCCTTTCCCACCCAGCCTTCCCAAGGAAGGCTTTCTTTAGGCAGCCAGACACTTGCTGGGGCCGCCCTGGCCAGAGTGTGAGCACCATAAACTCTGGCTCACGGCTAGGTGTTCCAGGTTACTGGGTTTCTTAACACTCAGGAAATGAGCTGAGATCGCTGGCTATGAAATTCTATCAAGTATTTGCAAATGATCCTCCTTACAATAAAAATGTGACCTAGACAGAGACCTCTATAGGGACAAAGGACAAAAGAATTCCCAGGCCTTTAGCCAATCACTCCTTAAAATAACTTGTGTTTTCTTCTGAGTCAGTCAGAAACTTAAGTTGTTTTTCTAAAACATGTGACTTTTCACTTGAGCCCACAGATTCCCAATAGGTAACTAACAGTAGAATAAAGACTGACATTCAGTTTTGTATCCTTTATTACCTGAAAACTTTTAATACAGGTTATGTTACTCATTTAAGAAAAGTTAGTAAGTTAACAGCTCCAAATTTACCTAGGCTATCTCATCCCCTTTCAAGACAGAAGAGACTATGAGTAACTACACTCATTCTCAGGATTCAGATGTACCTGGTTGCTTCTGCCGAGGCTTTGGCAAGTTCGTGACACAGGTGTGGGGGCACATCAGGACATTGCAAGGGTGCAGTGAGCCCTCCAGGAAAAGCTGCTTTGTTTCAGACAAGTGGATCCCACCAAGTGGGGTTTTGGGAAGGGTATTTGCTGGTACCAAGGCCAGGCAATAAACTCCAACTTGATGTATACTGTCAATGGCCTAGAATATAAAAAAAAGAGGTAATCATATTATAATAGAAATTATAAACAGTAACATTTAATAGATGGTGCCTATAATATGCAGAGGCATGCCCTGTATGAACAGTGCTCTGGTGTAAAGCGGCCAAAGCAAGAAACAGGTTTTCTCACCACCTTCATCAAACTGAGTAATTTTAAGCAGGGACCATAAACAATACAAGAGAGAACTCGAAGAAAGGGTACTCTTCTCTCAAGATCCTACTAAAAACCTAACCTGTGACTTCCCAGACGTGAATGGTAGGAACCAGCTCTGCCAGCTCCTGACCTCTGCCTAGTGCTCTGTTTAGCTCACTCCCTGCACAATTCATGGGATTTCCAATCAAGTACAGCAAAGGAAAAAGGGCACCACATGCGCAAAAGCACTATGGGTCAGGGTCAGGCCATAACCCTAACTCAGGGAGAGAAGGTGATACTAAGACGAGAAGGGAGCGTCACAGCAGGGTGGTGAGACCTGGAGCACCCTGCTCATCCACTGGAAGCTGTCTTCTTCCGTGGAGTCTGGCCTCTGTTCCGCCACAATCACTATCCTCTCATCATGAAGGACGGTCACAGAGAACACAGCTATCCTGTGGGGACAAAGGGGAATGCACTGTGAGCATGCGGCAGAGATGTTCTCCGGAGAACTCCTGTCCCAGTATGCAGTTTTGCAAGTCAAAAGAACACTGAGATTCCATCTTATTCCAGTAAGAATGGTTACCATCAAAGACTTAAAACAACAAAGGCTGCAGAGGCTATGGGGGAAAAGGGAGCTTCTACACAGTCAGTGAGAATTTAAACTAGCATAACTCTATGGAAATCACACTCCTCAAGAAACTAAAAATGGAAATTCCATTTGGCCCAACTATCCCTTTTCTGGGTGTCTTTCCGAAAGAGTTAAAGACATCATGCTACAGTGATATATGCATATCCATGTTCATAGCACCACAATGTGCAAATAGATAAATCTCAGAAGTGGTCTATATGGTGTGTATGTTCATCAACTGAACAATGGAAGAGAAAATGCAGTAGACATACATAATGGTGTGCTACTCAGGCAAAGGAAGGATAAATGTGAGTATGCAATTTATAACCATCGAAGTTTGCATACACTCAGGAGATCAGGACTCTTCACTGTCCTTCACAGAGGCAAAGAAATTATAAACTCCTGCACAAACCCTAGTGTAAGGACACCCTGGAGATGGGGAGAAGACAGGCTGGGGATGTAGCTCAGTGGTGCTGCTGTCTGCTTCACAAGCACCAGATCCTGGGTTTGATCCCAGTAGCAAAACAAACAAACAAACAAACAAACAAAACAAACAAACAAACAAACAAAAAACACCCAACCAAACTAAAAACCAAAGCCATATGAGGAGAAGACAACCCATACTTGGAAGGCACAGCCACATCTCTCTTGGAGGCTACCTATGGTCCTTGGACTTGGTGACAAGGTGTGTACCTCTTTCAGTACAGATAGAAGCAAGCATGTGATCACAGGACCTGCTGACATTTGGGGGCCCTTACTATGCACATTTTGAGCTTACACCTATGAAGGAATATTTTCTACATCAGAAAATTTCTGTTTTAGAAATCATGACTTCCTGCTAAATCTGTCTGCCTTGTACAGTCAGCATGGAATTGTGACCACTCTCAATATCTAGCACACCCCTTTTCACAAACAGATTCTATTTTAAAGGCAATCCATAGGCAGAAATGGTATAGCCAAGTATCTACTTTCTCTTGGATCCATTTGCTTACAAAACTGAAGTAAGATTCTAAGGACATTCTTGACATCCTTCAAATCAGTAAAAACAAACCAAACCTTTCAGGAACTACAGGAACAAATTTAACATTTGCCGAGCTTCTGCTGTGTGCCAAGCACATAGGGAGGAGGAGGAAGAAAGCAATCATGGGAGATTCAAGAGGTAAAGGAACACCTGAGTTTCCATATAAACTTTATTATCTTCTTGTCTCTTGGGCCTGCACTAAGATGAATATTTGGCTCTGTATTCTGTTCAATTATTAATTAGAAATACATTTTTTTTTAGATAGGGTCTTACTGTGTCACTCAGGCTAGCCTTGAACTTGAGGCAATCGTCCTGTCTCAGTTGTAGGTGTGGGCTACTATGTTCAACTAGAAAACAAATTTTTCAAATGGATATTTTTATTTAGCTTAGAAAGAAGCTAATAAAAATACATTTAAGGAGCTGATAAAACATCTATAAAATCTTAACACATTTCAAACTGGAATCTCAGCACTTACCCAAGTCAAGTTGCTTCAAATTTTCACAAAAGGAAACCGAGTCAAAAAAATGAACGCAACTTTAAAACCCTTTACAAGTATACAAAAAGTACAGTTTACAGAAAAGTACACACTTCACAGATGGGAGCAACTAACCTTCCCCTGTAGACAAATTTCATGGGCTCCACGGCCAAGGCTGTTGCCACGATGTCATCGGCATTGTGTCTGCGCCCACTGACCACCATCAGTCCATCCATCTTACCCACCACAAAAACCAGCCCGCCAGGGCCAACAAACCCCAGCAAGCCTGTCCTTATGAACGGGTACTCGCTGATCGGAGCGCCTGAGCTCGTCATGGGAAACACCTGGGGAGACAGGGGTTCTCATCAGGCACCTGCTCCATGGCCAGCTGGTTTAAGTCTTACCGTTTTCCTGAAAGTACCTAGAACTGCTGCCCTATTCCCAGGGACCCTACCAGAGTAGAGGCTCCCATAATGGATGCTGGCAGTGTTCAAACGTGGGAATGTCCAGCCCACGCTTGGCAGTGTCATCCCTTCCTCCTGGACCTCTGGGTGAGGTGCAGGGAAGTGGGGCGGCTCCTCCCACAGGCTCTGAGCCTCTGCACACAAGGCAGCCAGACATCATCATCACTGCTCACAAACACCACTTAGTTCTCTGGTTTATAAAACTATAGTGTGAAAGTGAGAAATGAGAATCAAGGTGCAGTGTAAATAACACATGTGAGTGTTAAGGTAACAGATCTCTACTCATTAAAATGTTATTTTCCTTAATTGCAATCATGTTGAAAAGACAAATGTAAAGAAAACAAATGAATTTCAACTCGAAACATTTTTTTCTTCAACTCTGCATATAAATTATATGAAAAAGAGGGAAGGTTATTGAGACTGTACCCAACCCAAGTTTCAAGGAGAATCTGAGAGCTGAATTTTCACGCAGCAGAGCCATCCTGGACAGTGACCGAAACAGCTGTTCAGTTACATTCTAAGCTCTAGACATTCAGGAATGTATCCCCCAAACAATTTTTTTTTTTACATATAACCAGATACTGTGCTGATCCTAAGGCCAGGCATCACTTAGTAGAGATAAAAGTGCTGAGAATGCCACATTGCAGCACTCAACAATTGAGCTCACGAGTTAAATCTCAATGTCTCTGCTCCCACACAGCACAAGTGAGCACACCACACATGTGCACCACACACACCACCCACCTGTGTATGCATAACATTCACATATCTACATATAATCACCACACAGATGTGTCCATACCGCACACATACTAGTCCGTGCCACTAAGATCATTTAGCAGCCACATTTGTTGAAGCAGGTTCTCACAAGTTCTCTCCCAGCCAAGTGCAGGGCAGGCTGCAAGACTGTGAAGGGAGGCAGCTGGCTTCCCCATGTGAGGCATGGAGAGACCTGTTCCTTCATCATCTCCCTGTCACGCAGCACTTGCATTAAATAGGTGAAGATGAGAACAACAAATGAGAAAAAAGGCTCACTTTTGAGAAATTGCTTATTCTATTTTTATACCGGTTATAAAAGCCAGAATAACGCCCATAAACAAAATTTATCAAAAACAAAAATGTAGGAGAAAATGCAACCATTTTAATAAATACAATAAAGAAAAACCCTAAGATCTTAGGTTTCTTATCTGTTCTGATGCATCCGGCACTGGCTATCTGAAGACAGAATATAAACAGAGCTCTTGGCAGAGGATCCTCCATCAACTCACCTCGAAGGTGTTCTTGGTCATGCCAGAGAGGCCGTAGTATGATGTTCCCGTTGCAACTGCACACACACACAGCTCTCCGATTTCATCTGTCCTACACAGCTGAGGGATCCCATCTGGCTTCACTGAGCACATGATGGCTGAAAGCAAAGGACAGCATACACAGGAATGTGAAAAAGGACAAATGAATAGAAACAGTATCTGGAGCCAAACTCCACGTGTAAAGCCAGGTACTCAATTCCCCTAAACAGAATGAGGATTTTTTTTATGTAGCAAAATGTCGATTCTCACTGTGGTGGCATCAATAATGTGAAATGCCTTCGCTTTACCGTGTACGTTGTAGGTAAGGGGGCACCACACTATCTGCAATCTCGTACAAAGACGATGGTACAGAATGTATGTCAGGACCACGTGCTGCACACAGGCCATCAATGGGAGCAGTTTCCAAAGTGAAACTTGAAACCCTGACAACTAAGAAACACGAAGTATTTTCTTTTCAGTCTTTCAAAGCTTCTCTGAATTTAAAGCAGAATTTAATCCTCCAGAGCCCTAAGAAGTTGTAACCTTCGATTTCAAATTCCCTGCCAAGGCAAACCCTTTGGAGAGCAACACCCGAGGACTTCGGTGTGTAGTGCAATGATGCCACGTTCTCACCCGTCTGGCCAAACACGCCGCAATGCTTACACAGCGGCATTCTACCCACCACCACTTAAACCTCAAGGGCGATCAGGGGCTGGTGCCACGAGATGGTGTGTGCAGATGGCGAAGACGGTGCTGGCTGGAAGTCTAACTCCCAGGAAGCCTCACGGTGGAGTTAAGGGGTCTAAGAAATGGAACTAATGCCAACATGGAAGTCACATTGTCACTGTAGTTAAGGGGACACCACACTAACTGCAATTCGCATACAAAGATGATGGTACACATCACAGCAAAAAAAAAAAAAAGAAAGGTTACAATAAACTACGCTGAAATATTCACCACCAGACTGGTAAAAATCAAAACATTCGAGGATATGCTGGGAGAGGAATTGGAGGAACGGGTCCTGCCATCTACCCACGGCACCAGTAGAGATCTGTAACATTCGGACAGACACTTTAGCACTGTCAAAATCACGTGGGCATGGTTCCTTTGAAACATACTCATTTCCGGAACTTTTCCATGAGATACTCTCCGCACCCACAGGGCCTGAAGCTGGAACAAGGGCCCTTTCCACCTCCATGTGGCCACAAGAGCGATGCTCGCCCAGACGGAGAGGGTTTAAATCAATCAACATGCTTTCAAACAACACGCTGCCTGGAAAATAACAAGTTCTCTGTGCACTTACAGATGAATTTTAAAACACAAAACCTGAAGACATACACAGGAGTCTATCATTATCTATGAAAAAAGCTAAAAATCCTAGACAGATAATACCCAAATGCATGTGCAAGTCGGGGGAGTGTCTGAGTATTTCTATAGCTCTGGAGTATTTCCCACAAGAGACCCGGGAAATGTGTGGATGTCTCTAATGGACAAAACAGTAGTTTTTCATTGCATACCCTCCAACTTTTCATGCTTCTATCATGGAAATCTATTTATATGAAAACGAGTTTGTTTTTTTTTTTTCTTTTCCTTTTTGAGAAAGAAATGGAGCCAGACAGCCTGGAAGAATACAGTGGGCCTGGGACATACAGAATTTGGAGGAATATAAAGGTTAAAAGGAGGAACAGAAATACCCTAATAACATTTGACTTAGAAGAGTAATGGGAGAAAACTCAGCCCAAGCATAGCCTATCACAGAGAGGGAAGTGAACTCCAACTCTATGGGGCCGTCTGTCCACCAGAACTGTCCTGCAAAGGTCCCCTTGTAACTCAAGCTCGCTGCATGAGCTGGCTGAGGGAAAAGCAGCATTGCTCAGTTGTGGAAATGATGTCCTACTATGTACAACACTGAAGGAGGGGTTTGATTATGGGTGGGAACCTCCAAGAAAGAGCCCTTGCTCCCATTGTGGGAGGAAAATGAGAGGCCTAAATGCTGATGTGTGTGGTCCTGTGAGATTGGGTGAAGAGAAGAGCATTCTGCAAATAAGGAGGCAGTAAGCCCTTATGTATCTGTAGAAATAATTTATATGGCTTTACTGCTAAAGGCACACTTCACAAATTATATAGGTTCACATCCTTCAATTTTTGTATGTGTCTGCTCAAAGCCTTCCACACCTTGGGAAAGCTGAGCTTGGATGTTCAGCTTCGGCTAAGGCATTAGGGTAGTGGATGAGGAGCTGTGCTCTGTGTTAGAGATAGAGAGCTGCTCAGGCCCAGTGTGGGCACAGAGCTAAAAGAGGATTAAAACTGCCCTCTGCCAGCGTCTTGAATGTTTCAGTTTCTTCAAGCGAGAGAGGCCGGCCTAGGAGTCTGAAGCTTAACAAAGACTTCCTGAGATTGTAAATCTGGAGCTCAGCCCGAGGGCTAACCCCACAAGGACGCGGGACATGGTAAAAGAAGGTGATGTGTGGCAGGGAGGCACATTTTCACTGATGGCTCACAAGGCCAAGGCTGGGCCCCACACTCACCTCCTGGCATGACGAGGCCGACATCCTGTACTGTGAGCACCGATAGCTTCTCCTCTGAGTCCACACGGATGACACCGTAGGTCAGCCCATGCATGGACAGCACACCCCGGCCTGGTGGCTGGTTGCTGTCATCTGTAGGCCTGAAACCACACGTTTAGGAGTATAAGTAAGCAGATACCCACAGACAGGCCTGTCAGCACATACATTCGCAGACCGACAGCCACCCACCAGAGATGAGCTGGCTGCCACCCGAGGCTGTTCAGGAGCGCCAGCTTGCTCTTTTGTGATCTACCTCTGAGTCTAGGAAGTGCAACTTTGAGTTCCGGGTATTAAGAATACCTTGGGAACAGGAAGAGAGTGCTCCTCTGACCTGCCCGCTTCCTCTCCCTCAGCTACACACAGCACTGATCCTTGGATCCATCAAACCCTACTCAACAATCTGCAAAGTCTGGTTTTCCAGACTTTGGAAGAACACAGATCAGATCCCAGCGTATAGGAACAATGGAGATCCTGACTGTCCACTGGCAATTCACATGCACTGTTTAGGCTTATGCTCAATTATATATAAGAATCTAGACTAAGATTTAAGATATGCCATTCTGGTTGCCAAATATGAAAGAAAACTATCCAGATGACGGGTGTGCTGCTATAAAGCAGTTTGTGGGTCAGGAGGTCCAGGCTTGTTTGGGAAGACTACATGTTCACCATCCGTCTCCTTGCTGCCCATGGGCAGTTGGGGTGTGGCCCTTCCCTACTTTCTGGCCCCAGCCCACTCTCCCTCCAATGCCACAGCTCAGTCTCAGCCTGGGGTTTCTGCATCTACCAAGAATATTTCTCCGGTTGCCATCCACATAGCTCACTCTTCCTGCCTTACGGGGTTGGCTCAACTCTGGCACTTATCATCTCAGAATCCACCTGCCCAGCACTCTTGTCACCAGAGCAGATGCAATCTGACTAGGTGCGAGGCCTCCTCTGTCCGTCTAACCCCGAGAGAATAGGAAGTTGTCACTGCGGGCACTGTGGTCACTGCTATGTGTCAGCTCGGGAACAGCAGCTAGCAATAAGTGTCAGTTAACTAATAAAAATACTTCCACCATCATTTTATCTCTGATGATCAGTCACTGCCTAGTGAAGAGACTGTAGTTCAGGTAAACATCACATTTGCTTCTGCAACTTCCATTATACAACCTTTAATGTAACCTTAGGATCTCAAAGTTGAACCATAAATTTGAGTTTGCTATTTAATATAAAGATACTGTGATGGTTTATAATGAACCCAAAGACATAAATGGGGCAACACCAAAGTTAAAGTGTGCGAAAGGAGATCTCATTTTAATCAAGTGGCTGCTTCATTAAAACGTGCACAAAATAATCTGAAAATATTATTCTATGTGTAAGAACAAGAAAACTGTAGCGCTAACCAGGTATCATTATCTACCCAAATTAAAAAAAAAATCACTAAAACCACCCAGACCCAATGAGTTCATTACTCTCCTGGACTCTTACTTTCCAAAGACCACGCAAATCAATGACATGAAAAAGAGAAGTTGTCAGAGGCGCTGCTGCCATTTCCTTCTACTGTAGTCCCCTGTAAAGATTCAGTATTAAGTCTGAAACGGCAAGTCCTCCGGTCTTACAAACTGAACTCTTTTCACCCCCAAAATACTAAGATATGATAAATGTTTGACATGATAAGATCCACCAGTTATCCTGATCTGATCACTTCACACTACGCGTGTATTGAAATGTCACACTGTTTCCTACGACAATGAGCAATTACTATGTGTCAATTAAAAAATAAAAATATACCTACAAAAGAAGTTAACTCCTGGTTACCTATGATATGAACTTATCTGGAAATGGGACCCGTACAGATGTAGCCAAGTTAAAATGAAGCTATACTGGCCCAGGACGGACCCTCAATTCAGCACCGGCATCCTCACAAGCGGGGAGATGGAGGGAGAACGCAAAGTGATAAAGGAGGCAGACAGGACTGCCACGGGCTCTCGGAGGCCTGCGCCAGCCGGAAGGAGGCCCTGGAAGGACCCGTCTCAAAGCCTCCACAGGAATCAACCTGCCCACACCTTGATTCTGGACTTAGCCTTCTGAAGGAGAGAACACATCTTTATGGTCTAAAGCCAGCCAGCTCGCGCTTCTGTGATGACAGCCAAACCACCCTGAGAAACCAAGGCCTCCCAGGTAGAAGATCCAGAGCACCGCAATGAGGTGACAAACTGTAACTATCAGAGTTTGTTGTCTTTGTTACAAGATCCTCTTCCAAATTTATCATAGTTGAGATGTAAGATTTATAATATCGTAAACTTAGGGTCTTATACACTGTGTTTATTATAGGAAGCTTTTTATTATATTCATAAAATGATAGCGACGAGACTGAATATACACACATGAAATGTCAATCAGTGATGCGGACCCTGTATCAACTTAATCTACCACGTGTATTTTTATTTCATATACTGCCCTATCATTCAGAGAAAACTCAGACCTCACGGTTCTTTTCCTTCATAGTCCCGACACACTCAAAAAAGCAGCAAGAAAACATGGATTCCTGGACGCAGTGGGTTGCCTCACTACTCTACCTCCCCAGCCTGGCCCCTCAGATGAGAGACCTGGTGGAGCCTCTGGCCTCTTCCCTTTCAATGACAAACCTAATGCCTGCGTGGTACTCTGTGTGCCAGAGCAGCTCCCACCTTTTTGCACATGTGGACTTACTTAAAACTCACGTGAAATCTGTGCAGGCACTTTTGTTCCCCAATTTCAGATTAGAAACCTGTGCCTCAGAAATGTTAATTTAGTTGATCAAATCAGTGGTGGGGCACAGAGGGATTCAGACCCTGAGCACATTCCACGCCCAAACCTCAGCATTATTTGTCTCCCTCTTGGGCATTTCCCATGTCCCCAGCTTGGGGACACCACGCACATCTTATTCACTGTAGTTTCCAATAAAAATTTATGCAAATGGCATAAGTAACAAAGAAGCACACTTTCAGCAAGAACACAGCAAACATAAGGCGAAAACGACAGGAGAGTCTGTGCTCTTCTTGCCTTTGAGCTTGCCTCCTGGTAACCCATCAACACTTTCACACGGAAAGCCCAGACACGCTAATATCTACTTTCATGTAAATTAGTTGTATACACAGATACATTTACTTTCAAAGAAAAGAACTGAAACATGCTATTTCACAGCTTCCTGTTTTCCCCAAATGTATCTGTAGATCTTCCCACATACATGTGCAAGTGTATAAGGTATGTATGTGAACATGCCAACGAATTACTCTGTCTTAACTGCTACTCAGTATTCAATAAAATGAATGTATGATCGTTTCATTCCATTCCATTTTTATACAGGGGGACTATTTCTATAAGATATGCATCTAGAAAGCCAAGAGAAGAATCTAAAAGCATGTATATTTAAAATTGTAAGAAAGCTAAAAACAATACCATTTTGCATTCCCACTAACAGAATGTGAGTATATTATTATTTTTCCAATTTAGTAGACATGCATGTAGCACACCAGCAGTATTTACAGTATATATAAAATGCAGTAGTGGGCTGGGGGTTTAGCTCAGGGGTTCCACCACCTGCCTCACAAGTGCAAGGACCCAAGTTCAATCACCAGTACCAAAAAGAAAAAAAAAATGACAAAACTACAGGATTATTAGGGGGCCGGGGATTTAGCTCAGTGGTTCGGTGGCCTGCCTTGCAAGCGCAAAGACCCACGTTCAATACCCAGTACCAAAAAAAATGCAGTAGTGTTTAAGTATTTATATAAATTAATGTATTCTTTTTTTATTTTCTGGTTCTTGGGATCAAACTCAGCACCTCAAGTCAGGTGTGGTGCCACTGAGCTACATCCCCAGCCCTAAAAAACGAACTCTCTATAGCAACTCTATGCAGAGGTGAGGAGAGGTTATATACAGTCCAAAGCTATAGCTGTGGGAGGTGCCAGGCACCAAACTCAGGCAGGCTAAACAATCTGTGCTTCTAACCACGGGCTTAAGCTACCTCTTAGCTGTACATGTTTCCGTACATTCTGGCCAGCAATAAAAATCAAACATAAAAATGTTCCCAATTTGGAAAGTAAAACACCAATTCTCATTGATATTTTAATCTGTATTTTATTGATCAAGTTAGATTATCTTTCTCCATCACCATTTTCCTAGGGAATAAAAATTTCAAGTAAACTGAGACGTGAAAAAACAATCCTGATAAGCAAAATTCATGGAGCTTCAGTATCATTTACTTTAATAATCAATAACAGTAAACTAAGTAATGGGTAACAACGGCCTGGACCCATTTGTCAACCTCCAGACTGAGTTTCAAGATGAAATAAATGGCGACTCGTGAACTCGTGACCATGTGGCTCCATGTGTCTCACAAAGAATAAGTTATGAGAAAAATCATATCAGCAATCTCCAGGAATAAAAGGCAGCTTCTACTTTTCAAACTAACACAAGGGGAGGAAATTATGTAGCTATGTATACAATATCACAACTATGTGGAAAAGAAAGTACCGAGAAAGGTATGCACCACTTTAAAATATGCCGGGCACTTTGTTTTAACTTATCACTGCATTTCCAACCTCTGTAAAACATTCGCTAAACCTTTAGCTAATCTTGCTGTGTAATACCTGCAGAAAGAGCTGCTATAAATTTCACTGAACCCATCTACAGTTTGCCACTCCTGACAGCAAGCACAGCCTGGCTGGGCTCCACGCGCATTAACATAAAACAAATGGAGGAAAGTAAATAAGCAGCAGTTAGGACGATTTCCATTCCCAGGGTTTAACAGAGCAACTACAACTATATCTGAAAAGCTTTAATGCCATTTGTCATTCACTGAATCCTTCTGCAAGGGGAAACAAAGGTCCTTCAATGCTTTCATCGCTTACAGGCAATCTTTAATTTAGTAGATTCAGTCTAGGAACAATGATACATTTGGGTGAATGTCTTTTCCTTCTCTTTTTCCTTGTCTTCTATATTTTTTGCAGTATTTTTGTATAACAGCTCAAAAAAGAAGAGACACAGTATTACTCTACTAATACTAGCATCAGTAGCAGTTGATAGTTGTTGGATTCTTACTATGTGCCAGACATTCTCAAGCTGTTTAGTGAGCCCATGT